TTGTTTTGCAACTTGATTGAAGCAACTAGTACTTGAAAATTATTGCTACAGTCCAAATGAATTAAACAGCCCTAATGAACGTAACTCAAAATAATAACGATAAACTTCTCCAACATTTTCATTTCAGAGAAAAAATTTACTGTATCCGGTCCTTTACATTAAAAAATAAATGAGTATATATTTTTTCTCTAATTTCTTACTTTAAAATGTATTGATTACAATTTTTTTATACTTCATACATTTATTGATATATTAACAATACAAGTTTCACTTGTGGTAGAAAAAGGTATCTCTTAAATTAAGTGTAGTGCTATTTAATATATCACTATTTAAATCAATCAGGATATTTTTAGAATGAAATTTAATTTTATGACATAATTAATGAAAACTAACTATCTTAATTACTTTTATTAACTTTAATAAATTAATTATTTTTTCCTTATATAAAATATCAGAGGGAGTATAAAATGAAAAGAGATCCACTTAAGTCTAAAGAAATTGGAAGAACATATCCAATAGAAAAAAAGTTATGAAAAAAGGTTATTTGAAAGAAAACAAAAAGAAAGAGTGCATTCTTTAAAATGTTGGCCACACACCATATATTAAACCTACGATTACTAGTAGCATTTTAAATAGTGTGTATTATATGGTAAATGTGTCAAATATTCATTCTCAAATAATAAATAAATTTAATGATAAGTAATGTACACAATTGATGATATTTTAAAATTTAACAACTCATATTTTATATCAAATTTTAATTATTCAATTGTTAAGTTAAAGAATTTTAATGCATAGATGAAGTCTACAAATATTTTAAAATTTTAAAAATTATTGGATACTTCATTTCATAATTTAAATTGATTGAAATCCATGTAAAGAAATATCATATGTTTTTTAATTTTCTTAAAAAAATTAGACTTGAATTTGATATATAAAATATTTTTACTTTACTGACAATTTTAAATCAAGAATCTTGGTTTCCTATGTTTGATAATTATTTTTAAAAAAATCAAAGATTCTCAAGAGACAAGAGATATAGTTTCTAGAGAACATTTTTATATCACTTTCTTATAAAAATATTCTCATGGAAAGTTGGGAAACCGAATTAGGGAAAAAGTTATATATATATATATATATATATATATATATAGAGAGAGAGAGAGAGAGAGAGAGAGAGAGAGGGGGAGAAAGAGAGAGAAAGAAAGAAAGAGAGGGAAAAATCTATTTTTCTTTCTCCTTCTCTCTTGCTTGCACTCTCCTATTGTTAACCTGTTTGTTGAATAAATATCTATCTCGTCTCTATATTCGTGCGGTTATATTGTTGAGCGGGTACGTGCATATTTTTTTAATATTTATGAATATTCACATGTATATGCAGGTATTTACTAAAAAAATATCTTTAAAATATTGAAAAAAAATATTTTAACCATATATTTTAGTTATTTGTAATAGCTTTTTTTTTCATTTAAAAGTTATAAAAATCTACATAATTTTTTTTTGAAGATTATAACTAAAATTTAAATAAGATTTGCATAAAAAAGTTTGAAGATTATAAAATTAAAATTCAAATATTATTCACAATTATACTACTAATAATAAGTAGATTTAAAAACCGGATTTTAAACATTCAATCATATAAATTTAAAGTTCAAACAATAATTATTAAAATAAAATAGTTTGATTACACATAAGTCAAAATAAAAGATAATAAAGTATATTTAACTATTTTAAGTCCAAACAAAGTCCAAATAAAACTAAATTTATACAAATTCAAATAAAATTGAATTCATACAAGTTTAAATAAATTGAATATTAACGGTACAAATATGTGTGGGTATGGATACTATAATACTCGTACCCTCTCTATTAACATGCGAATTGTAACGTAGTTAGTAGACTGGAACGGGACGTTCCCAAATTGGAACGGACTGTTCCAAACTACAAACAAAAGGGTGATTTAGTAGCCCAGAACGGGCCGTTCCCAAATTGGAATGAGCCGTTCCAAACTATTAAATAGGCCTATAAATCCTAGTTTAGAATGGGCCGTTCCAAACATGGTCGTTATGGGTTAAAATGCAACCCCAGAACAGGCCTTTCTGGTTTGAGAACGGGTCGTTCTGGATGTAAATTTTACACATGATGTATGAGTCCAGAACGAGCCGTTTCGGATTCGAAACGAGTTGTTCTGGTCACTCCTAACTTCTATAAATAGGCCACACATGCATGCAATTGAAGAGAAAAAAAAAAAAAGAGAACTTAGAGAGGGGTTTTAAAGAGAAGGACTTTAGACTAGGAAGCTTGCTTTTGGAAGATTGAAGTTCCCGGGTCGAGCTTTGGAAGGAAACTCTGCTTCTTCTCAGTTCTTGGCTATTCTGAGCCAATCTTCAGGTGAGGGAAGTTAGGATTCTCATGGATTGGTTGCATGTGAGTTTAGAAACTCAATTGATGCATGAATAAGAGATTGATTTGCTGATTTGAGGGGTATTTTTCATTTTTGGGGTTTTGAGCTAAAATGGGGTTTTGGTTGGCCTTCATGAATCAGATGGGTACATGTTATTTTTTTAGGACTTGGATTGAACTGTTGTTGGTGCATGGATGTTATTTCTTCCATTGCATGTGGATTAAAAAGTTGCTTGATACTATAATGTATAGTTGGTTCATATATGTATGATATATGATGTATGGTGGTGAATGATTCATATGTATGCATAGTGATGATATGTATGAATGTTTAAATATGATATGACAAGAGTATGTGTTCATATAAGTATGATTATTGATCATGATGGTGGGTAGACTAGTATGATGTATGATGCATTATTGCATGTGATGCCTTATGGCAAGAGTATGATTATTGATCATGATGGTGGGTAGACCATGTATGATGTATAATGCATTATTGCATGTGATGTCTTATTGCATGAGTATGATTATTGATCATGATGGTGGGTAGACCATGTATGATATGTGATGCATTATTGCATGTGATGCCTTATGGCATAAGTCTAGCCTAGGACTTGAGGAGAGGGAAAATGTTTTCGAACTGGAAGAGCTCACATAGAGTCTCTTGAGAGTGGTGCTTGGATAGACCACTGATATATGAGAGTGGTGCTCAAGTAGGCCACTGGTTTTGGGTGAGAGTGGTGCTCAGGTAGGCCACTGGTTTGGGTGAGTCTCCTCTAAGTCATTAGCTAGTGTTGGAGCGGAGTATGAGGTCAATGGTTATTCCCTTAACCAAGTACTATGGAAGGTGCGTGGTTCCTTGTGGATAGTCAGTGGGCGAACTCCACAAGTGACTTGGTAATGCATGCCAAGATCGTGATAAGTCTGTACCCAGCTGTGCTATACCTAACGGTGGAATCGGACTTCCAATTGTGTAAATGATATTATCCGAGTAAACTCGAGGGAGGATTTATATCTTGTTTAGTTGTGACCGAGCAGACGCATTTGGCGTGAAAACGATTGGGGTAGTTTCGGTAGGATTGGGATGTCACTTACACTGCTCTGTTGTTAGGGAGATCTCCTAGGTGTATGCATGACGATGCATTAGATGATTGATATGCATTAATATCTGTCATGAGTTGCATGTATTGCATGATTGTTATGATGATGAAGTGTATGGTGTTTGACTTCATGTTTGATGAATGAATGATTGATTGAGATGGAAGTTCCTTTAGGACTTGATTTGGATGCATGTGTAGTATAAATTTAATTATGTACTTGTATGATTGCTTTTTGAACTCTAGCTTACCCTTCTATTTCCATGTTAATTGACTGGGATGATCATACTTAATATGAGAGCAGGTCAGGGCTAGCTTGGAGTTGAGGTGACAGCTACGTGATGAGGAGTTTGTCCTAGTGTCAGAGTTACCTTTTTGGGTAACTATTGTGTGTACTTGACCGACACTAGGAGGTTATGATTTTTGGATGATTGTACATATATAGTGCTATATTTTGTACATAGAAACGTAGTTATTATATTTATATTTATACACATGTATGTATGAGTTGTTCAGTTTCTATATTATCTTAGTTCACTAGTAGCAGTGCGATTTTACTAAGTGTAGGGATCATGGCGGGTCGTTACACGAATATAAAAAATATTCGTACCTATTATCCGTGGATATCGTTTACAATATCCATTTTCTATCTGTTGCAAATTTTATTTGCAGATACCCATGGATAGGGATTTTTTTAACATCCCTACTCCCTCCCATATTTATATTTCTCTCTCTTTCTCCGTCTTATATCTTTATTTCTCTATCTCTCTTTTGTATCTCATTATTTATTGACCTTATCAATTTTAATAATATTATTAAAGTCTGTTTTATTCTTATAGTTTAATGGTATTTGTTAACATTTTTTTAAGAATAAAAATATATTTATATCCTTTTTAATTATAAGGTAGCATTTTTCTTACCAACTTGGGTTGATGCAAGTGCAAGAGACTCACATGGTTTAACTAAGTAGTTAGAGTTTGAATCCTGCGAATGTAAAAAACTCATGTTAGGATGGGATACCCCTATGGGAGATTGTCTACTTGGTAATGAATCAAGAAAAAGGGTAGCATGTTTATGTCTTTTGTTGAATTCTGTATTTAAATAATTTTAACAATAAGTTTTAAACTTTTAAAATAGTTTAATATCATATCTATAATAAAAATTGAGTAAATAAATATATCTAATGAGATTAATTTAATAAAGAGTATTTTTGTAAAAATTATTTATATACTCAAGAATATATTATTATAACCAAACATAAAAATCTTTAATTCCCGAAAATCTTGTATGAATATTCTCATGAACTTTTATTATTAACAAAAAAGATTTTAACGATTCTCAAGATTCATGATTTTCATAATTTATAATTATCAAGAATTATGATTCTTATATATGAAGAAATGTCTCTTTTATCAAACATTCCTTTAGAATAAGTGAATATTTTCTCGTATAAAATAAGCTTATGCACAAGAAAATTTGCAAAAGTTCTCTGGTACTAATTTCTCCAAAAACTTGTTAACTTATGCATCCCAATTAAAAAAAAAAAAACTATAAGGATCATAGCATCTTACAATAGCAACTATCATAAGTCATAACAACTCTAAAGTTCAATTTATTAGAAAAAATAATACTTCTCCTATAAATAAATCCTTTAATTCCTTTCCCAATTATGGAGTTCACGAGGCAATGGCATGCATGAATGCTACACTGGGTTTTCTTGTTTACTTTTATTTATGTTGTGATGGAGGCAGGAGCTACAGTTCCTACTGCAGCAGCACCTTTGGTAGTTGGAACTCTTCTAGAAATACCAGGCAAAGGTGTCTCTGTCACATTATTTTTAGTCAACACGGGGAGTGTAGGGGGAAGTGATGGAAAGTATAACTTAGAAATTTGTTGTAAGAGTTTGCCAGGTTCAATAGGTCTCATATAAGGTGCTTTTTTACTATGCTTTAAACACAAGTTCCCTGCAACAAGTAGAACAATAATGAAGTCAGTAATGAAGGCATAATGGCTTCATACAAACAGTTACTAATTTTATGCAGAATTTTTTTTAGGCACATAATAAAAAAAATAAAATAAAAGAAAAAGTAGTAAGGCTAAGATCTATACAAACTTGTCAAGTGGCATGGATATTTCTACACTAATAGCTTATCCTAATAACCAATACCATGCTGGCAATAATCATAAATGAAGAACTATAGAGTAGACTACAAAAAATTTGCATTAAATCCATATAAAATTATTAATTTGCACTTTGCACTATACAGAGTTCTGCTACTATATTATAAAGAGGAGAAAAATGTGTTTAATCCTTATATTTCTGGTCAAACATTGCTAAGGTCCTTGTACTTTTGCATCAACGAATTTGGTCTTCAAATTTTAAAAATTACGTGGATTTGGTCTCTTTTTTTAAAAAAAGTTCATCATGTTTATTTTAAAGTTAAGAGAGGTTAAATCCACATATCTTTTAAAGTTTGAGAACCACATTTGACCCAAAGTAAAAGGACTAAAGTCTTTTTTTTATTTTATTTTTTTTCTTATAAAGAATTGGTATCATCACTTATGAGCTTTGTTCTCAATAATCACCAATTCACCATGTAAAACAAGGGTCATTTGAGAAAATATTTTCTTTTGTTTCTTATTTTCACAAATAGTTACTAAATTGTTACCTCGTTTTCATTTTTTCTCTTACAAATCATTAAAAACATGAATAAAGTAAACCTAAGGTGACAATTTTGTAATTATTCATGAAACAGAAAAATGTTTTCATGAACCAAATAGACTCTGAGCTTTCTAGAGCTACCAACAAAAAGAAAGGACTAAGTGATGTCAATTTTCCAAAATTATTGTTCAAGAAGCAAAGTTTGATATAGAAGGTTCAACTTACTCCTGTATCTATCAGCTGTCTTAGGGAAGTCAGTGATAATGCCATTAACCTCGAGTCCAATGACAAATGAATTTATCTCAATAGATGCATCTGAGTAGTAGTCCCATGCTTGAGACACAAATTCATTGCTGAATGTTTCTACATAAACTGGGATCTTAAATGATTTTAGCCTTGTCACAGTGTTTGTAGAGCTAACTAGAAAAGCTTCAGTTTCAGGAAAAACTGATGTCTTTCCTATTACCACAGAATCAGCAAATGTTTTGATTTCCTTAATTGCTGAGTCAGTGGCATCGCGAATATTCTCATCAATCTTGTAAACCCTTTCATATTTGGATTTATCTTTGAATATTTTAAGCACAGAGCTATGAGTTGACTGAATCATGACTTTATGTGATCTTGGTTTTGCTTTCTGTAAAGCATTAAGGACTGCATTGGTCACACTTAATTTCTGCTTCTGTGCAAGATAGGCAGCATTCTGACGAGCAAAATAATGAAAATGGTATTAACATATAATAAAAGGAATTAATCAAGGTGGAAACTGTTGTTATTTTGTTGATGAACTAACTAATATTTGTTGATAATAATGACATACAACATTTTCTAAGTAGCAATCACTTGGACTTCACTTTTTCTAAAGAACTGAGGTTAGGAGTCAAGAAATCAATAACGTGAAATTCACATGAAAGTTTGAATCAGCTCATGAATCATGATCATGCCGCAAGAACTAAAGAACAAGTACCATACAACTGTACATGTGTAAATTGGTTTCATTATTGGACAATAACACTCTTTTAACCCTTTATACAAATAATATTCTTTATAGCCTTTTATTATAAAGATATTTTTCTTTCTCTAACAAAATATTTATCATATGATCATGTAAATATTTCTTAATGTCAAAGTAATAGGCTGTAAAAGTCAACATCTTACACATGAATAAGAAAATAAGGTAGAAATGAAAGAACTCACCTCTATGCTGATCAAGATGCGAGAGCCTTCAGTCAAGATCAAAAAATCAGACAAGGTTAAAAGTTTTCCTTGATTTTTGAATTTTGGATTCCGGGACAGTAAGTATTTCTTATAAGGGTTCAATATTGAGGCTGCAATAAAAAGCCAAGAATAGCAAAAATGAGGAATGTATCCATTAGTTGAGCACAAGTAGCATTCCTTCTGTTTTTGTTCTTCGCTTGCTCTAACTTTCTAAGAACTTGGACTGAATAGGCTACCAAAATTGCAAACCAAAACTTAATTTTTTAGCATTAAAGAGAGCATGTATAAAGAAAATCAATCAAATATATTTTAATTCCTGTCGATTCCATTACTATTGTTCATCCAAGAATTCATGCTTTGTAATATTTTAGATTTTTAGAAAACATATTAGAAGCAACAGAAAGGATCTAATTAATTTTATATAAGAATGTCTCATTATATAACGCAAACTGTTTCATGCTAATAAGTCATAAGTTAATTAAGGTAGAAGTGTATTTATAAATTACCTTTATCCTTAAATTTTAAGTAATGTGAGACAAAACAATGACATATTAAGATTTGTTTACTTTTCATCCTTAGTCCTAATTTTTAAATCCAAAAATATTATTTGTACATTTATACATTACTACATCATTTTCTGAAAGTAGTTTTAGTATTTTAGTTTGTGTAATGGAAAAAAATATTTATTATATATAATAAAAATTTATAATAAATTATATATATATATAAATAAAATATTTGTATAAATAAATATTTTTAAAAATATAAATTATATTTTAAATATATGATAAATAATTTATATTGTATCACAAAATTATTTTTATTTATTGATAATTTATTTTAAAATATTAATATTTAATTCATAAATAATTATGATAAATAAAAATTAAATTAGATAAAAAGTTAAAAGAATTTTTATGAGCATTTTCGTTGAAGAAAAATTCCTAAAAACCATCTTAAACAAAATAGTTATTTATATTTAATATATAAGAACTCATTTTATATATATATAAATAGGAATAGATGATTTGAGTTTTGAACAATTTAAACAATTCAAAGTTCCCATTGATACCCTCAAAAGAAAATAAAACAAGGAGGGAGAATGGCTAAGCAATATCTCACACCAAGACAATAAATAAGCATTCATAAACATCATTCAACTTACGTGTCAATGTTTTTATCTCATCCCATGTCAAGCTGAATGTATATATGCCACTTCCATTTTTAAGCTCCCGATTAGTTGTTGCACGGTTTTTGAATTTTGTGTTAGAAACTGTTGTGCTCTCTGAAAGATCTATAGAGCTTAAGCAAAAGGGTGTGCCATCCTTGGACATTTGAACAGGACAGTCAAGTACATCTGCCCCATCTGATTTAGCTTTCTTATATGCAAGATCAGTACAAGCAGGATATATAGCCTCCACTTGCTCCATATTTTGTGATAACCAAAGTCTCCACTTTAACATGAAAAATGTCAAACAAGAAGGAACAGATCAATAAAGACAACTTAATTATTATGTTCCTTCAACACATGCCATAACTTGTTAACAGGAAAGAAAAGTACTACATGAGTAGAGAGAGAGCAAATAAATTGTACCTTGTTTTTTGGCATTTTTCCCTAGACCAGAAAAACAATCTGCAGTAGATGAGATTTTAGAATTAATCTAAATTGCAATCAGATGCCATAAAATTTATAATAGTATTACATAAAGGTAACACTCTTAATTGTCATGTCCCAATTCACAAAACAGAAAGAAAATTGCATACAACTCAGTCTCCATATCTCCGTACTTGCATGGATGTAATGAAAAATAGTGATTACATTTAAATTTATCTACGGGGGATTAAAGGGTGTAAGGATTAATGGAAGGTTAAAGAAAATTAAAGTCTCATTTAAAGGGGATAGCATTTTTTTAAAATTTATTTATAATATAAAAGTTCAACTACGAATTATTACATTCACATGTCGTTATAAAATTAATTTAAGCATATCAACATATTTATTTATGTGTCAACTCTTACTCACCCTTTCACATTTTTATATAAATTCTAGAATTAATGGATATCTCACTCTTATCTTATAATCACTTTTGTATATTTAATTTTTTTTTACTCTTGTGCATAACTTTCTTTATCTATTTATTTGTTCATTTTCTTCCGCCATTTTATTTTCATCGGAGGAACAGAATCCATCGAAGAAATCAAAGATATTGTCATAGAAGCAAAATACAATCTTAGTCTAAGAATCTCAAGACATCAACTAATAAAAGAGAGACCAAAGGGACAATAGATGTTATTATTTTTCTCAAATTTTTTTTCCATTTTTCTCCATTTTTAATTATTCACGCTTAATTAAAATTTTTTTTACAAGAACAAAACTTATATGATAAAATTATTAGAATATAAAAAAAAATTTAAAATAATATTCCAAAATATAAAATATCTACAAAATAAATATAATGTTGATAATTATGCTAAAAAGATTAAATGTTACATTATTATTTTAAATATTTTTTCAATTCAAAAATAAATAAAAACAATTATAATATAGAATTAATTATTGATAGAAGAAATAATATTTAAATTAACACATTAAATTATAAAATTATATATTTAATATACTTTTAATTAAATAAAATTTAAATAATTTACTGCATGTGCGGTTTAATATCTAATTAATTATAAAGCATCTTTGTATAGATTTGTCTAAAATTCTATAAAAGAAAGAAAGAAAATATTAATTATCTTTTGATCCTTATAATTTTATAAATTTTATTTTTTAATCTTTATAATTAAAAATATTTCATTTTAATCCCTATAATTACATATCATTTTTTTTCTTTTAGTCTTTATTATCTAATTCTGTAAAGATTAAAACGTAAAATTTACATAATTATAGAAATTAAAAGAGGAAATAAAATCTACATATATAAGGAGAAAATAAAATATTTTAATTATAAAAATTAAATAATAAAATTGATGAAACTACATAAACTAAAAGAGTAATTATTAAACAAGAAAGAAAGAAAAACTTACTTATGGCTGCAGATGGAGTTACTGGGAAGTCAGACAGCACACCATCAGCAGAGAAATCACCACCATCAGTGAAAGCTAATAACTCAGCCAGAGGATCATAACTGAAATTGTAGCTAAATGGAACATCATTGATAAGGTCTGATACAAAAACTTGCAACCCTTCTTTATGAGCATTTGTGACAAGAGGGGTATGTGGTTGTAGATAAAGGCCTGAGTCCAAAGGCCATATATAGCCCTTAGGAACAAGAATTCCTGAAGCAAATGTCTTGATAAACGCAAGATTTTTCAAGAGTTCACCATAAGTATGATTGGTTGTAGGTTCAATCATAGATTGCTCTAGAATCCTGAAGACCAGGTTGGTTGTTCCAGGACTAAAGCTTGATTTTACTCTTCTTAAGAAATCCACATCAGGTGATGAGATGTAGTTGATAGATACACTTTTAGTAGAGAGAGTTTGTAGAAAATTTTCTACACTCAAATTTTGTTGCTTGAAGAATGAATCATGCTGCATTGTATTTTAAATTTCAAAAACATGATGAGTAAAACATACTGATTAAAGTCAGATCCCAAATGTATAAATTCAGGACCTGCCTTGAAAGAAAAGAATGTGTTACAATACAGTACAAGGACAAGAAACAAATATTCTTCCATTTACCTGAACATTTAACCACAGGCCTGTAGATGGTGATTTTCTTAATTTAGCTACTTCTTCAACAGTTAGAATGCGAAGCTTGTTGCCATCAAACTTATTAGTCCGAGAGTACACTCCCTGAACAACTGTTACAATAACAACAAAATTATCAGCAATTGCAATTGCAAGCATGTAACAAATCAGAAAGGGGCAAGGAGAATGGAACAATTTTCTCACTTCTGAGATGTTTTGATCAAAGGCAAGCACCAAGAACTAGTTCCGTGAATAAGCTCAGTTTAGTCCTTGAAATTGATACAACGTACCAATCAATTTAATGCTTGATATTATAGTAAAAATTAATTTAGTCCCTAAAATTTACAGTCAAATTTGGTTCTTGCCATTTTCAAATCAATCAAATTGTCTTGAATTTGATAACCCATTAATCAACTTGCTTGCTAATGTTAGAGACAAATGTGACAAATAATTACCACAAGTAAAAGGTTAAAAATATATCCTTAAAATTTGTTAGAAATCATACAATTGTATGTCACACTCCTTATTTAATACATCCTACTCCTTACTAGGTAGTATGAGACCACCACAAATGCATGATCTTAACCAAATTTTATATAACACGTATTCAAGTTTTTACGATTTATGATAAATAATTAATAATACTTAATTACTTGTCTATGGAGATTGCTATCTCCTCAAGTCTTTAGATGTTTAAGGTTCATGCTCATAAAATAAGAAATGTTTAATAAAGATAAATTATTACTTCATCCATTTTATTATAAGTGTTTTCTTAGGTTGTTTTATATGGTTCTAGAAAAGTTAATAGATGGATAAAAGAAAATAGTAATTTTATAAAAATAAATTTATGATTAATCTTCCTTATTAGAAAATATGCAATATATTAACTATTCTCTAAAAAATATTATAAGAGATATAAATGAAAAAAAAAATGTAACTAATATTATATTAAAAAGTTAACAAGAAACTTATTTTAGGACTTTTTTCTTTTCAAATTTAATACTAACATAGAATGGAGTGAGTATTATATTTGGACTAAAATGAACTTATTTAATACGTTATTATTGATGCATATACCATTAGTAGTGGATATTAAATAAGGACATATCTGAAAAGAAAGAAAAAAGTAGTTAGATTTTGAAATTTCAAAACATCAATTTAAAATAAATAAAGAAGGATAAAACATCTAATAATATGGGAAGGAGGAATTAGTTGGGACCATAATGGTTGATAATTACTAAGAATTCAAAAACATTAATAAGCATGTACAACTTTCATGGTCGTGAACCATTTAATGTTTCTTTATTTAAAAGTTAAATTCTTTATTTAAAAGAGTCTATTGTTAAAACTCCTCGTTAATATAATTAAAAACTAAATTACTTTTTCCTAATGTTTTGAATAAGATTAATTTATAATTGCTTAAGTCGAGGACTAAATTTCCTTTTTTAACAATATATGTAAAGAACCAAATTGACACGTGATGCCAATTCAAGGACTAAAATGGTGTTTTCCTCCTAGTTCCATACTTGAGTAATCAATGTCATCACTAACCCCACATTATTTTTAGGAATTTTTTTTTTTAAAATTATCCAAACAAGAATATCTAAGATTGCTATAGAAACAAAATGTTCAGGTCTCATGATAGATTGAACTCACGAGAGACATTTGCTAGTTGATCAAAGTTGTAATCCACAGAAAACCATCCCCGGGTTGAGACCCCATTAAGTGAGTAATCCTTTTGCTTGCGAGGGTAAGCAATGAAAATGTCAGTGGCATTGTCCAGCTTGGGCTCTGGGAAGCAAATCCCAACTCCATCCTTTGTCAATTGCACATCACACCATAGAGTCACATTTGGGCCACTAGTGTCTAGTGCCAAACCATAGGATAGTGAACTTGAATCTGGAAATATCCCTGAAAATCCACCACGTGCTATCACCAGTGGTGGAGATCCTGCATATATAGCACACCAAACAATAATTAACCATGTGAAATATTGCTATTAAGTACGCATAATTTCTGAATTCCTATGATGTTAAGAGGTGAGACAAAAGTTGGGGTGCATTTATGTATAAAAGTTCACACAGAAGGTTGAGTTTCTAGCATTTGTTTATGAATTAACAAAGAGATGAAAACCCATTGAGTTGTTAATATTGTCAATTTCTGGATTATTATCTTTAGGTCGTTGTCTTGTCTCTATTCTATATAACTTATTATCTTCTGACTCTTCTAATTTGTGGACCATATCAATCACAACCAAACCAGCATTTTCAAGGCTTGCTTGAGCTTAGATATATACTTTGAAAATGCTAAACATCTATAATTGTTATATCCATTGATTCAATAGTTTAATCAAGTAAAAAAAAGGCTTTTAAAGATAATTATCGTAAAATCGAACATAACAACTACAGTATAAAATTCCTTTAATATCATGCATATTGACATATAATTATAAAATGGTTTACTTTCTTATTTTCTTTTTTAGATAGAAATTAAAACTGATGACTAATTGACTATTCATTGTTGTGATAATTGAATTAACACTACTAGCATATATCAAACTGAAAGGTTGAAATAATAAGTAGTTCATTAATTTAAACAAGACTCAAAAGTCTCAAACTCTAGAAAGAATATGAATTACCCAATTTCGCTCCAGGTATGAGTCTCAAAGCCACTCAAAACTAGCAAATAAGATGAATAGGGACCATTGGAAACATTATTAGGAGACAAAATGGAAGAAGAATTAGAAACACACCTTGCAATGTTTTCCAGCCACCTCGTGAACCACCAGATGAAGAAACCAGTGCCACCAATGAGTACTGAAGAATGAGTATAGCAAGTACTCGAGAGAGAGCCATGAAGTGCCACAAATAGGTTCCAAATCCTAGCAAGAAAACCCTTATCTGGGACTTAATAAACTTTAGGGAGCTAGATACCAATTACGAGAATTTTGCAGTTCTTAAAAAGAAAACCAAAAAATGAATGTTTCTGACTAAAAGGACTTAGCTAGCTATGATGAACTTGAATTGTTCAACTAGAGGAATATTTATATGCATAAGACAACACCCTTTTTAACCTTGGCTTTTTGTTCTTGGTATTCTATTCAAGTCTACTTCGAAGGCAGGGCCAACCACTCAACAACACCGCTATTTTCCAAATATATATATATTTTGTGTGTGTGTACTGATGACTTTTTATCCACTTATATCATGGTCACTCGGTTTTTGAAATTTTCATGCAAATGCCTCAAAGTTATGCGGGATAATAATAATAATAATAATAATAATAATAATAATTAAGCTTTCATCTGAAATGGTTAAAGTAAAAAATACTAATAATAATCATTTAGATAAAAAAGAAGAAGGTGAATGGAATATAGACAAAGGAAAGATAGAGAGGAAGATAGGAAAGAAAAAGGGTTAGTAAACTCGTTTTGTAGGCACATTACTGTAGTTGCTGCTAGCTAACATTTCTGTATTGATGTCTGCATTTAATGGTCACTGATGCATGTCCATTTTTGTAGTAACAAATAAAGGAGATGCCAAAAATTTCTTCCAAATGATTATTTTGTTTTTATTTATGTCTGCATTTAATGATCACTGCTATATGTCTTCCTATGTATTGGTATGGATCAACGGTATCACGTGATATTCGTTGAAGATTAATCTTTTTTATAGACACAAGAAATTTAAGTATTTATTAATTCTGTTAGTTATTTACCAGTTGTCAATTTATATATATATATATATATA